ATGTGTCATATTAGTAGATATCAGACTGTATCTTTACTTGGCAGCAGAATTTGGCAATGTTCTCTACGTGCTGTTGGTTTTTAGGTACACAAACAAGCCATGCAGGGCCATAGTGGCTTTTTTTTTTTTTTTTTTAAACCAAAATCCGAGAAAGCTGCTGGGACCAGTGTGTAATAGGACAGGATTCCCTGCAAGGAGGTCCTAAGTGGCCATTACATTAAACTGTGATGGAAGCCTAAATTACTGTGGAGACCCCACAATTGGAGGTTCCAGGACCATGAGTCATACAAAAAGGAAACAGAAGGGAGCCAGTCCCTGAGAGAACCCACATGTGTTGTAGACTGTATTATAAGCAGCAAAACAAGAGGGGTGGGGCTGCTCAAGTCTTCTGGAGTCTAGATGATGCTACCATAAGACCTAGGTGTTAGATATAGAGCTTTACGGTTTGGTGTTTTAATATTTCCTTCCTACAACCCCATTCTTTCCCTTTGGAAGGTGCCATTGTATAATGGAAATATGTAACTTGTTTTTTATTTTGTGCACTCTTACTGTAACTTGAGTCTCATGAGACTCTGGACTTTTGGCATTTGAACGATATTAGAACTGTTAACATTTGGAAGACTTATTACAGATGAAGTAAATGTATTGTGCCTTATAAAATGTTCATGGATATTTGAGAGGTCCAGGAGTGGGATGCTATGGTTTAAATGTGATATATTTGGGGATTGAGTAGATAAGAAATGGATTTGTGATGGTTAATTCTGACTCTCAATTTGAGATTTAGAATCACACCCAGAAATGTGTCTGTGTTGGTGTTTCAGGCAAGTTTAACTTAGGAGGAAAAATCTATGTGAACGTGAGTAGCAGCTTCCCACGGCCTAGGTCCTAGACTGAAAAAAGAGATAGTGAGCTGAGATGGAATAGTCAAGTCTCTCTATTTCCTAACTGAAGACGTAATTTGACTAGCTACTTCCTGTTCCTACTAACATGTCTCCTCTGAAATGATGGACTATATGTATTTCCCTACTCCCTAATCCAAAATAAAGCTTTTCTGTTCCTTGCATTGTTACTACTTGTCATATACTTGGTCACAACAGTGAAAAGCAGTAACTAATATAGTATGGTTTTGATTGTCCTCATTCCATTTATTCAGAAACCCAAGTTTGTTCATGGATATTTGCTTGGGAAACTTAAGATGGCCATCTTTGATTTGGAGTTAGCATGATAGTATAAGAAGTTTATGTCAGAGGAACTGGAGAGATGGCTTAGTACTTAAGAGCACTGGTTGCTCTTCCAGAGGAGCCAGGTTCAATTCCCAGCACACACATCTTAGCTAACAGTGGGCTATAATTTCATTCCCAGGGGATCTAGTGCCCTCTTCTGACCTCTGCAGATACTGCATGCACATGACACATAGACATACATGTATGCAAAACACTCATACACATAAAATAATTTATAAAGGAAAATGTTTAATGATGGCAAGATGGCTTAGCAGTTACAGGTGTTTGCTAAATAGTCTGATGTACCAAGTTCTATCCTCACATTAGAGGAAAGAGAAAACCAACTCTTAAAAGTTGTCTTCCAACCTCTAAGCATTTGCTATAATATGCACACAAAATGATGCATGTGCCTGCACACACACACACACACACACACACACACATCACACGCTCATAGCATACACAAGAGTAATCATGAAATACAATAAATTGCTTAGAACAGGAAGTATACATTGTGAAATCAGACAAAACAGAACTGTGTTTATTTTTGTTATTGTTGTTTTTCTGTTTTTCGAGACAGGGTTTCTCTATTACTTTGGAGCCTGTCCTGGAAGTAGCTCTGTAGACCAGGCTGGCCTGGAACTCACAGAGATCTTCCCACCTCTGCCTCTCGTGTACTGGGATTAAAGGTATGTGCCACCAGTGCGAGGCAAAACAGAACTGTTTATATCAGCAAAATGGTTTTTAAGGGACCACAACCTACTATTTGCCAATGTTAGGAATCTCCTTAAGTCTGTATTTCTTCTAAAAAGTTTTAGTCATGGGAATTAGGGAGTGAACCTGGAGTTGGTGTATGTACACAACTAGGAATTTATGAATAAAAACATTTGATAATTAAGTGGATTTGAGCATATCAAGCTGTTGAAGACCTCACTGTAAGATGTTCAAGCACAGTAGTAATGGTAGCAGCAACAACATAGCAATTTACCTTTAGGGAGTCAGAAAAGAGCTTTATGTAAAATCTTGTATTGAATCAAGGAAGTAATTCATATTACTATCATCATAAATGATATATGTGAGGAAAATAGAGAATTCATTATATGTACAAACATACACAGTTGGTAGTATAATTTATTTAATACTTATTGATGGACCTGCCACAGACTTGTTGACTTTCTAGCTAACGAGACATTTGAAATGAGTCAAACAAAGTCCCTGCTTTCCTGGAAGTACTTTGTCTTTCATGAGCATGGTATGCAACAGTTAGCCATGGAAACATACAATAAGTCTAGTGATACTGTAAAGATCATGTAGGTTCATGAAGTTCAGTAAGGAGGTGAGAGTGGGCTAGCATAAGATACTGGGATGGATGGTTCATCATTGTTTATACAAGAATCCCTCTCTGATACTGTGACATTTTAGAAGAGACAGGTGGTGGGGGCATGTTTTTAGGAAGAAAGTTTTTTGGCAAAGAAGAGAAAAGAAGTCTTTCTGGTACAACAGGCTGTATGTTTAGACTGGGTGATAGCGACAATGTTTGGAATTCCAACACAAGTTTATCTTGGCTCCAGAGTGTGCATTTTAGTCAATTCTATGAGTTAATGGGCAGTAGTAGCATTAGCTAATCCACTGTGATCTTGGAGATGCACCGTATTAATTAGATGCATATTCTCATGGAAAAGGAAGAGGGTAGTGATGCTCTATTATGGAGACCTGGGTCTGGGGAGAGGTACTTTTATGGGAAAGATAGGGTGTGATTGTGGATCATAAGTTTTGGAAGCTGAAAGTATAAATTCCTTTCTCAGCATTCTTCAGTGGTTCCTGATTGTATTCCAGTCTTCAGAGAAATTGGGTGTTTTCTTGGAAATCTCACAGCAAATAGGCCTGATTTTGAATTATAATGAAGACTATCTATGTCTTAATCTTGTATCTTTAGGAAGGAGCACAGTCTTAGGTGTCTTGCATGTACAACTTTGTACATTCTAAAATGCCCCTCTCTCCTGTTTCTAGCTATGACATATTATCCTCTTTGAGCTACCTTTACCGTTCCCCCTCCTTAGCTGAGTTATAACTTCTTCCTTTGACTGCATTTATGGCTTATATTCACTCAGACCCTATTCTCCCAGATAGGATTACATATGCATAGAACCTATATACTCATCAATCACAATGCCTATCACATTTTTGTAGTGTTTTTACTTGCATATTATAAATATGTAAGCTTCCAGATTTTGTCATTGGAAGTTTATTCTATATGTTTGACAGCCACATATAGGGCACGACATGTAATTTGCTCATTCATTTAATTAAATGTAAGTATAGTAGGTGCAGAGTTCCATTAGAATCTTTTAGCGTAGCACAAAGACTGCATATGTAATTATATAAAGGGCTTATACATGTGCTGACAGGGAGTCCCACCATAGCTGTGGGAAGCTGAAAAGTTAGAAGCTGATACCTCAGAACAAGGTAGGGGAACAGTGAGGGGCAGGTCTAGCTCCAGGCCTAGGATGAAGGCCAGGAAGCTTCCTTTAACTCTCTGATGTCAGTCTGCATTCAAAAGCTGAACATACAGTCTTGTGCCTATAAGCAGAGGCATCAGTGACTGAATGCCCACACTTAAGAGTCAGGCCCAGTGGAATGTAAAAAAAAAAAAAAAAGAGTCAAGCCCAGGCTTACAGTGTCCCTTGTTCCTTCCATTTCTAGTTCCACCCAGAGCCCAAAATATTGGACATTGTAGCCCACACTCAGGTCAGGTCTTCCCTGCTCAGTTCACTGACCTGCTGGAAACATCCTTACAGACAATGAGAAATGACAAATGTGCTTTACTGAATTTCTATGTATTACTCAGTCCATCAAACTGTAGCCAAGATAATCATCAGAGGAGTTATAGTTTTGAGTGTGTAAAGATGGAAAAGTAATGCTAATACGAGCTCCTACTCTACTGAGAGGTTAGTGTGTGAGTTAGTGGGGCTTTAAGTGGAGAAAGGACAGAAGTCATACTTGTTTCCTTTATATGGAGGTTTGAAAACGTTACTACAAATGTGTATACTTGGCTTTGTGGCAGTGGCCTTCCGGATAGAACACTGCACCCATTTATAATGGGGACATAGCATGGCGGATGAGACAGAGAGCTACTGGGAAGGGAATCCAGATGAGAGCCTGCATAATGCAGTGCTTGGGGCTACTATCAACAGATAATTGTGAAGGGTCCCATAAGTGCCATCCTTCCAACCGAAGGCCTGGAGTGGAATACTTCAGGGCCTGCTGCTGAGTGCAAGCCCTCATTCTTATTCAGCAGGAAGTCTGCTGATTAGGAAGTCTATTGAGAATGCAAAGAAGAATTCTTTGTGCTTCTCAGACAGTATGCTATCTCAAGTTGACACTGTGCTTGTAACTGCTGGTAAGTCATTGTAAATTTTACTAAAGTTTTACATTTAATTTTTGTTTACATGACATTCATGATTCTTTAGCAATGAATTACACTGTGAACTACTTTCAATTGAAAAATCTCAAAAAAATATCTAACACATAATTTTCTCATATTTTCATGGAACAATGTAGCTTTCCTTCTCTCTGTATGTCTTGATTTTGTTGTCCCCTTAATTCCTCAATATTCTGCCCATTAAATGAATTAGATATCCTGTATTGAGTTAATACTTACCAGTGGGAATGATTGCATTAGTGCTTATAAGGAAATGCTAATGTTTTTCTGTTCTTCTAGTCCCTCCCATTCCCCAGTAGGAATTCATTCTAAACTGTTTTGTGCCTCCACTGTAGTGACACCTCGGCCAAGGCCCTCTGGGAAGCCTTACTGAACACCAAGCACAAAGAGGCAGTGATGGAAGTTCGGAGACATCTAGTGGAGGCAGCCAGCAGAGCAAACCTGCCCATCAGGATGAGTGTGGGTAAGCCTCTCTGTCCACTCCTGCCCATCAGGATGAGTGAGGGTAAGCCTCTCTGTCCACTCCTGCCCATCAGGATGAGTGAGGGTAAGCCTCTCTGTCCACTCCTGCCCATCATGATGAGTGTGGGTAAGCCTCACTGTTCACTCCTGGGGAACCATAGTAGGCCGGGGAGACTTCTCTAACCTCCTCCTGTGACTGTGGCCAAACTAGCCAAAATGGAATTTAGATGAAAGTATTGAAGACCTTGTGAAGTATTGACAAAGAGAAGGAGCATGTGCACACTTTCCCTGGGCTCAGTGGTGACTGCTTTTCTAAGTTTCAACTTGAAACTCCAGGAGAGTCTTTGAATACATGGAATAATTCTTTTTCTTTCCTAATTGATACAGAACTGTAAGATTTGCGCTGAACCACTGTCAGCCTACTCTATTTTATACCTACTTTTCTTTCCCCCCTTATGTTAGATGAATGTGCTTTCATCAATTTTGAATCAATGATTGAGCTGTTTTATAAAATCAGCAATAGAATAGGTAGACAGGCTGAGTGTCCCTGATCATATTGATGGTTGAGCTTTGTTCAACAAAACAAAACATTGCTCATGTTTTCTCATTTTGTCTCCCATCCAGCTTTGATGTTGGTCTTAGAAGAATATGGCTGCCATCTTTTAACGATAGTTCCTCTCATGTAGTGTGCTGCTCTCTGGCAGCTAGTAAGTATTAGTATGTTCTCATGCATGGGAATGAGGATTAGCTTGAGGGTCAGCTTGAGGAGATCCAGAGTCAACATAGAAACAGCCTCCAGCATGTCTGTGAGGGAATTGCTAGGTTAAGTTAACTGATGTGGGAGGGCCCATCCTAATGTGGGTGGTACCATCCCTGGGGCAGAAGGCCTAGACTGGATAGAAAGGAGGAAGCAGCCTGAGGCTTAGCGTTCACTGCTGTCTGCTTCCTGACCACAGAGTCACTGTTCCAGTCACCATGGTGGACTGCATCCTGAGACTGTGAGCCAAAATGATGCCTTCTTTAAGTTGTTTCTGTCAGGCATTTAGTGGGAGTGAATAAGAAAGTAACTCAATGTGAAAGTGGAAGTTTGCTCTTGATTAATTATGGTACAAACATCAAATATCAAGATGAGATAGAACAAATTTTGAAAGTAGAAGAATGTAAAGGAAGTTAGGAGGAAACAAAGTAGAGATCATGACATGAAAATACAGTTGTAACTTTTAGTGTGTTTGGCGACTGTAGATGACAGCTTCCGGGAATGTAAGGATGGCATGGAAAGTGAATGCAGCTGATGTTTAGTGAGCACTTAAAAGACGTTTGGTTTTCTCCTTAGTGTGTCATCCTATTGAGTCATTACAGTATTTGTAGACGTTAGCAAGCAGTTGTTTTTGTGTAACCTATTCTTTTCACATAAGAACTAAATAATTCACCTTCAGTTGTCCCATCTCTAAGAAGGAATAGGGCTAGAATTCAGACTTAGACATCTGATGTTAGAGAATACACACTGTGTTCATGGGATTTGCTAACTCCTTGTAAACAGTGCAGAACCTGTTTTGAGTTGTTTGAAGTTGCTGCTTTGAAACTATTCTGGTGTTTGACTATTAATTCCAGTTCTTGCCTTCCTACCTTTCTATCTTCCCTCTCCTCTCCTCTTCCTTTTATTGTCTCCCTTATTAACATATGTAGTGTATGTGGTATGTATATATGTATATGCATGCATGTTTGACTATACATGAACACATGTATTTATATATAGGATGCATATGAAAACCTGAGGTTGAAATCATTGGGCATCTTTCTCTATAACTTCCCACATTATTTACAAAGTCAGGTCATGCAGGGACCTCTTACTTATACTTCTTGAGCATGGCAATTACATGCCAGGTTTGATGTGGGTGCTAGGAATCCAAACTTGACTCTGTATGTCTTCAGTTCATCTAGTGGACACCCTCACCCCCAAATTGGCTGGCCTTCAACAGAACCCTCCTTCATTAGCTTCCCCAGTGCTGGGATGCACCACCATGCTTGGCTCCTTGCCTTTCTTTTTTTCCCAAACCCTGTATGTATGTGATACCACCAAGTGTGTTTAGGTTGGAGTTCCCTACTCATAAATATAGTAATTCGTATTGTGAACTAAGAAGAATTTGAAGGTACAGACTATCTGGATACTGTGTTTTAGTGATAAATATGATGATATCATGGAACATAAATCAACTTTTATAGTGCAACACTGGACTCTTTAAAAATCATTATACTTTACTCTTCTAAATAGCTCTATGTTTGAAAAATAACCAAAGCAAGAAATAAAAAAAAAAAAAAAAGAAAGAAAAGAAAAGAAAAAGAAAATCCATGAGTAACTCCATGAAGAATTCAGATGTAAATGTTTGACTTTTTCCTATCAACTCTCCTCCCACCCCCAAAAAGATAAAATGCTTCTCTTTATCCCAAACTCCAGACAGGGGTGGGGGTAGAGGGGAGGAAAGAAACAGTCGATTGTTAGCAGCGTCAGTTCAGGCTTTATCCCCACGCCAACTTCAGTCAGTTAAAGATAACACAGTGTGGCTACCCTCTTCTGCTGTGTGTCACTAGCCAGAATTTCTCTCATTCCCATACACAGATCCATAACCTCAAAAAGTAAGAAAAAGAACTTGGAGTTTTAAATTCACCGAGACATCTGTATTTGAAAACTGCCTATCATTCAGCTTGTCATACAACAGTCACATTCTGGTGTCTCAAATGGCTGGGATGTGGAAAGGAGCAGTCAGGACTTCTAAATGTACTCTAAACTCCTCAGGACATCCCGGCCCTCTGTTGTAAATTTTACTGAAGTATGAATTTTCTGCCTGTAATTGAGGCTTCTGGTGCTTTTGAGACATTAAACAGATTTTGATTCTAGACTGAAGATTCGCTTGTGTTTAAATTTATGAGAGGGTTTTTCCTGCTGGAAACCTCAGATCTTCAATATAAAATCCCTCAGCATTATGAGCACCAACAGAAATAAACTTAGTTCTCTTAAATGATAAAAGTAATTGCTAACACAAAGAAAAAACTTCATTTTATCATTGTATATCTAAACATCTGTCATCTTACTGAGAGTTTGTTATTAAATTGTCAGTTAAGTAGATACATTCCAGAAAAGTGATTTTTAAAACACTGGAAAGGGAACTGTATTTTCCCATTGGCTTTCATAAAAGGAAAAATGTATTCTGGAAATAAAAAAAAAAAAATAGACCCTAAGAAATACATTGGTTTCCACCCAAAAGGCCAAGCAGAGAAGACAGAATAAAAATCCTTAGCCCAGATTCTGCTCTATTCCTAGCGCATCTCTTTCTGGAGTTAGACCGTGCTGAAGGGTGTGCACGACTTGACCTTTTGCTCTCAGCAGAAGGGACATACTCTCTGGTGTTGGCCTGAGGCAGGAATACCCCATTGGTGCTGAAGTGAAACATTATTGTCCTTTCTTTCAGCTAGATGTCTTGAAAGAATATTCTAGGCTTGAGACCTCTGTTTATTATTTTAGTGCTTTTTTTTCTTTTTTTCCTTCCTTCCTTTCTTTCTTTTTTTTTTCTTTTTTCTTTTTTTCTTTTTTTAAAGAAAAGAAGGTGTTTAGTTGGGGGCTTGCTTACAGTTGGAGAGGCTGAATCTATGATCATCATGGCCAGGCTCATGGAAGCAGACAGTGAGGTGCATTTCAATGTTTCTTAATCAAGTGCAGACTGGATCCTGATACCTTTGCACTAACGTTCTCCCCACACCACTAACTGTGAGGATGGTGTGTGTGTGTGTGTGTATGAGAGACAGAGAAAGAAAGAACAGGAGAATGGGAGAACAAAGCCAAAAGGGAGAAAGAGAGGGTTGGCAAAGTTTGCAAAAGGAGAGATTAAACACTGATTAAGACCAATACACCATATGAGTAACTTACAAAAATATGGGAAAACCTAGGCATGTTATAAGGCTACATATACTGATTAACTCTCACATTGTTTCTATGTTTCACTTGTTACTAATTTTTAAAAAGAGCAGGAAAATGAACTTTTACTGAATAGCCATTGAGTTTTTCATAGTTTGGTTATTTAATGCTCTCACTAATCATGTGAGTTTGACATCCATTTTCACACCCATTTCACAGACCTGGAAAACTGAGACCTAGGAAGGTTGAGTTTCTTTTGCAGGATTCCTGTGCTGTTATGTTATTGTCTCTCAGATTAGGGCTCTACTTCTGCTAAGTGCTGCTGGTGCTGGGACTCTGCAGAGCATCTTCTCTTCCATCTGGCTCCCTGACAGCCTGTGCTGAGGGAGAACTATGGGGCTGGAGGATAAAGAAGTGCTTGCTCCTTGTTGTCTGCTTCCCAGGAAGTTCTGTTCTGCTTAGTCATGTCAGCAGCACTACCACTCCAGGCTCCATGCCTTCCTGTGCTCACAGCTGTAGGTCACCCAACACTTGGAGAAGCATCTTTAGAGTCTCTGAGAGGGACCAATCAGCCTGGGGATGCTCCATGCTGGGGCTGGGGTGGGGGTCTAAGTTTCAGACCATTGGTCTCTAAAGTTTTGTTTTCTCCACCATTGTGTTGGCAACAGCATCTTCCTATTGCTATCCCATGATACCTTTAGGTTTCACTTACTCTTTTATTTAGCCAGTTAACAACTGTATGTTACGTTTCTGTGTTCAAGTAGCTGATCTGCTTTCTGTCTACTGCAACCTTCCTAATGCTGTGACTCTAATACAGTACCTCATTTGTGGTGCCCCCCAACCATAAAATTATTTTTATTGCTGCTTCATAACTAATTTTGCCACTGTTATGAATCATAATGTAGATGTCTGACATGCAACCCCCATAAAAAGAGGGTCACGGCCCATAGATTGCAAACTGGTCTTGTGGCTGGGCTGTGACACTGTCACATAGGAAGCAAGTGAGGATGCAAGCCTGGTCCTGCCTGACTTCCTTCTCCAGCCTCTTGCTAGACAGGAGTCCAGCACAGACACAGACAGGAGGGTGTCTG